AGTAACGAAGTATTTGTACTTCGTTACTTCCCATCTCTGGGTTAGATACAGCATTTAACTTGATAGTAATGCAGTTTGCACGAATATGCATATTTTTCAGGCAAATTTAAGCATGACTTTTGTCTTGGGCTGCACGGTGCAGCAGTATGTAGCCCTGTTGTCTTGCACCAAGAAGGTTCTGCGTTTGATTCCCTGCTCGGGGTCTATCTGCATGGAGTTTGCATGTACAAAAACACATGACTGTTAGGTTAATTGGTATCTCTAAATTGTCCTTATAGGTGTGTGTTACGGTACAACCTGGACAGGTAGGCACCAGCCCCACTGCGAGCCTGATGGTATAAGTAGAAAAAGATTAATGGATGGACTCCTGCCCCTATAATGGATGGGGAAAGAGAGAAGTGACGTATGCATTTAAGAAGTCTGCATAAAACCGACAGAACAAAACAGAACTGCTTTCGGCACAAGATGCTTTGGGCAAATAAATGCAATGAGGGAAGTTTTGGGAATGTTTAGGGTTTGACCCTTACTGTTCAACATGATTTTACACCAGTGCAGGAAGAAAAACATGGAAAATTGGGTTTGATTTGGAAACACTTGAGAGGCCTGCAAAAAAAGAAGCCATTGATTGTTGCATCAGTGTCTGACCTCATAAATGCACTGGAAGAACAATCATATATACTTAGACAGTTTATATAGGAGACACACCCCATACATGTTGAGGAAAACCCTTCTCTGAAGAGAAAAAGCTGTAACAGCTGCAAAATGTTGCTGAGATTCATACTGCAGTGTCTTGTGATGCTGCAAGGGCTGTTGGGTAATGTTAGGATGGGGATGGGAGGGGGGGTATCAGCATGTTATCCTAGCTTTGAACTAAAAATGTTTTTTGATGTTGGTAGTCTGTTTATACTAGGTTAACATTATGTTTGTAAGTGCTAAACAATGGACCATAAGGAGAATATTCCACCAGTTGGATGTTATCAAAAAGGAATCCTTTGTTATTTGAGACAACAGAATCAATGCATTGCATTTAAATATTTGTTCCAGCAGTTATTGTCTACATGCTGTTAAATTTGGTCAAATATCAAATTCTTTGCGTTAAAAATTTAAGTTGCACCACATGCATGTACACAAAAAATAATAATAACGCAACCGCTTTTACTGAATCGCATTTAGTTACTTTAAAACAATTATTTTATGTCCTACCCTTCTAACATTAAACAATTTTGTTAAAGTAACTAAATATGATTAAGTAAATACCAAAAATGGTTGCATTATTTTTTTCAGTGTAGGTGTTAAATCTTTTGGTAAGACAGTTAGGCTCCAGTAAAATAATCAGAGTTTAAAGATGTAATGCTTTGTGTGAAACCTTAGAGAAAAACGCATGCTCTTCAAATGTGCATACAGTATAATTTCTGAAATTAAAAAGAGGTACATTGTCCCATTGGCAGCTTCTACAATCAAGCCTCTTCCCCTGATCTGCTTCTCGGGGGCACTAATAACCCCTCATAGCTCGGTGCTTTGTTGTGAGCGCAGCGCAGCGCCGCACTGCACGTAACAGCAGAAGGTGAAGAGTAGGTTATATCCACTCAGCCTGATGCTGCAGGATTCATTCATGCTTTGCAGGAGGCGCACCGAGAAACAGCTGCAAAAGCAAACATAACAGCTGGAGAGCGTCATTTAGCGCATTCGGGTTTTTATTTCATTTTGTCCGCATTTTGGCTGCATCGAGGACAGACACCGGTCCGGGATCCATGAGACATCCTTTAGACTGGATACCGCTTCAGTATCACGGTAGGCCACAGACAAGATTATTACGCTCTAAACACCGGAAAACGCGCGCATTAATCTGACCGAATGCAACTAAAATAAAAGAGAAGATGGATGAGTGATTTATCTGCTATTTCCTTTGATCAATCGGGAAATCATTTCTTATGAATATACTCAATGTTATCAGGTGATGTCACTGATGTCCAGCTGCTGACATCTGTTCAGGTTGCGTGAAGGTGGAGTCATGGACGCCGGGAGGCTGGAGCAGCAGGTGGCCAGCGTGGAAAGGGGGATCTGCTTCCTGAAGCAGGAGCACCTGGCCATGCTGACCGGCCTGCAGCTGGAGATCACACACCTGAAGAGGCGCTGCCAGGGTCAGTCCCAGCTCTGCAGCTTCTAGCACAGAGAATCCTGCCTGCTTTGTCTCCTCCATCTATATCCTCTCTCCTAATCTGCCTCTTTCTTTGTACAGAGCTGAGCTGTGAGCTGGACTCCAGGTTTCCAGACAGAAACACTTCAGGTAAGATTACATTCAGAGAGTAATTAGCCTAATTGATTAATTATAACTGAAACTAGAATAAAAATAGGCATTTGGTTCCCTGAGCAAGTGCTGATGCAGCTGTTTTATAGATAAACAAACAAACAAGCAAATAAATACATTGATATAGAGAGATTGAAGAGGAGGGAACAGGAGAAATGGTTTACAGATAACATACATCTATATTCAGCCCCTTTGCTCTCAATACTATGAACTGCCAAATGTAAAAATTTACTTTTACTATGTTTCTTCAAATTTGTTGGTTTTATCTAATATTTAGCAGCAAATAAATCTACTTTAACATCCTATCTTAATGTTATATTTGTATCGTATGCCAAAAAAGTTAAAAAGCAATCAACTGGACTTTGTTTCCAATTTTCAAGACGTGTCGCTTCCTATCCAGGACCAGTATTGGGTATTGCAGGCTAACAAAGAACCCTAACGACTCCCCATTCCTAAGGGGAGGAACTGTTCTTCCTGTCCAATTTGCATGTTTTTTTAAAGCCAAAACAAGGCTTTGTTTTGGTCCACTCTATAAAGCCTCGAACTCATGGCTAATTCTGACATTTTGAATTGAAAAAGTTTCCTGGATGGGAATTGAAATGTCTTCTAACTTGGAAACAAAGTCCAGCAGATTGTTTTCTAACATATATTTGTATCAAAAATTTATATATATAATTTAAAAATCTTAATCTTAAATATATATGTGAATCTCTATCTTACATCTAAATCTTAAATGCAAATATATATCTTAAATCTTATATTTAAATATGCATCTTAAATCCTAATCTTAAATCTAAATATATATCTTTAATCTTAATTTTTTTCTTCGAGTCTAAGTATTATAACTCTTATTTGAATGTTTAAGCAAAACTTGACTTGATCTTAAACTGATATTTTTATATCTAAATCTTCAGAAGATATGGTAATTAACCAGGCTGTTTAACAGCTGAACATCTGGTCACACCTGCAGCACATGGGAGCACCAACAGGAAGAGGCATCGTCACTTCCTGATCTGCACTGGTAGCATAGTCTATACCAGGCATCCCCAAAGTCGGTCCTCAAGGCCCGCTGTCCTGCAGGTTTTAGAGGTTTCCCTGCTTCAGCACAGCTGATTTCCATTGATTGCTGATTAACAGGCTTTTGCTGAACTGCAATCATCAGAATAAGTAGGGAAACCTCTAAAACCTGCAGGACAGCGGCCCTTGAGGACTCACTTTGGGCATGCCTGGTCTATACCATCAGCATTACATGAAAATAGACCAATATTACTTATTTCTGTCACCATTTACTGAAAGCCCACTAAAGTACATTCTCTAAAAGGTTAATAACCACTTACATCCTTTTCGCTTAGTCACTGATCTTTACCAGATCTCTCTCAGAAATGTTACCCCTGTCCTACTTCCTGCAGCATATTAATCTTCTTTATATTTGTAAATAATTCCAGTCATTTTAGATTTTATTTCATTGTACCTGTGTCGTAAATAGTGCATAATCTAAAGAACAACATTGTTGTTCTTTAGATTATGCACATTGTTCCATTGTAATTCACCGGACTGCTTTGAACATGTCTAATAAGGATGTTAGAGAAAGAAGTAATTTAATGTAAATAATGATGAAACAACTTCCCAAATAATTAATTCATTTTCTGAGCAACATTGTTTTAATGATTTAAAGATAGAAAAAAGAACTTATGTTCCCCTAATTAAATTATTTAATGGTGACCTGGTTGAATATCTGGTTTATGGTCCGGATCGGTTAGTGGCAGGCATCTTTTAAAGGACCCAACATACCAATTAAAATGGTGACCAGGCTGTGGGCGTGGCCACACATTGATCTGCTAGAGGGGACTTGGTAAATAGCACATTTTCTAAATATTATAGTCAGAGATTAAGATGTTACATAAGGATTTAGATTTGACATTTACATCAAAAATATATATTTAGATTCAACATTTTGATCCAGGATACACTTTTATTTAAGATATTTATTTAGGTTTAGATTTAATATATATTTTAAAAATATAGATTTAGATTTAGATTTAGGATTTAGATATAATAGCTTTAGATAGAGATTCATGATTTACAGGGGAAATGTTCAATGTTCATGTTAATGCTTGCCGTAAATGTAACTTTGAAGGCGAAAACAAACAAAACTAAATAGAGCCCAGGTCAGATAATCTCCATCCAGGAGAACAAAGGCAAAGTTCACACTGCAGGTCTAAATGCTCAATTACATCTGACCATCTTAGTTTGTGTCCCTGAAGCCGCATGCACAAAAAATAACAAGAGGTGTCAGAACTCAGTGTCTATAACCCCATTTACGCAACCTTTTAGAAGCCTAGAGTGGTCTGAGCACGGTAAAGGAGAAAACCATTGAGTGTAAATGGAACACAAAACTGATCCGGTCTGTGCCAGACACAACCGAACCGTGCTAACATGGTACTAGTCCATCAGTAGGGCTCAGGTTGAGGTTGAGGTTCAGTTGAGGCTCAGTTTTCACATAAGAAAAAGAGCAAAGACTGCGTCATCTCCTTATACTCAGCCTCCGTAATCATGTAATTTCAGACATTCATAAAAATACTAGCTTCTCTACAGTGCCACACGATTTCCAGTGATGATTCTGCTTACGTAGCAGTGTAATTGTTTTCTCTGTCTGTAAGCCCTGATCAGACTATCGTTTGTCGTATCCACTTCCTAAAAGCCGACTCTGTCAAGTAAATTCACCAAAGGCTGCCTTCTTCGTCCGACTCTCTACAAACAACGAAATATCACAATGAAAACAAAACATAACTTCCTGAATGTTACGGGTGCCGCCATGTTGATTTGCTTGTTTACTTCTAGAGAGCAGTAGTGACGTAGACCGTCACTATGAGGCGAGGAATCGTGATATTGTGATGTGTAAACTAGGGATGCACGATATTGGGAATTTGGCCGATATCT